TCTGGAGCATCTAAATGCTTCAAAAAGACATTTATTTTATTTGTGTGTTTGCAGCGAGATCGTTTGTAATGGTAAAAAGTTGTCTCACTATATCATTGTCTTATGGTTTGTTTGTGACTTGGCACAAAAAAAATGTTTTGTCCAGATTCAACTGTCCAATATTATCTGATACATACGCATGATCAATTTGCTAATGTCCTGAAAAGTATCGCTGCCTCATCATCGTGATTAGCTGGGTAAACAATAGGCATTTAGCATCAGTGATCACCAAGGCAGAACGATGAAATTCCTTTTGTCTGCAGTTCCACAACTGACGGATTGTTGGTTGTAAGTATTTTCTTGACATTTTTATGGATGATTGATGACTAATAAGTGCAGAAATTCTTTTTCTGAATGTATTTATGTTTTGGTTCATTATGATCCAAAGCCTTTTTAGGACATATTTGTGTGAGCTGGTTGATTAATGTACCCTGGGTATTAATGTACAAAAGCTTATTTAGATGGAAAGACAAATTATTGAACAGATCCATAAACTTTCTTGTCTGCCTTAATATTGCAATCTCGGAGAGGATACTCCTAAAGTTTATATGTCGTTGGGAATTGATAATTTATATTTACAACAATTTGGTACAAATTACAAAATCTGTTATTTCAGGTGGTTAATAAAGACAAAATCAATTATTTTTTTATAATCCTATTCACAATAGACATCTTTATTGTAAAACATATTTAGTTTGGACAATGCCTGCTACTCAGGACCGACAGTAAATATCTGACCTGTTAAGGGGAGTCCAGATGAAGCACAGCTCATGAAGGGGGCTGCCGGAGTTGGCTGTACACAAGGACCTGAAGAGGGATTGGTATTAACATTCCCAACATGCACTGCTGGGAAGCACTGATGCATGATTTATAATCCACTTCCTGCCACCGATAATTTTGTTGTCACATAAAACAGATAGCTGCCAATGTGACAGGATATCTTGAGGTTGCTGACTCGTTGCTCGTTCTACATAGGGCGGTACATAGGGCGGGCCTAAGAATAGTTTGTTTTTGTCACTACTGCAAGCTTCTGTTTCAGAAAACCATGTGCTTTTTACATTTTTTGTCAATTTTACTTTATTTATGGATTCTTATTCAAATAAAAGTCAGATGTTAACATACTTCAAGCTTTGAAAATATATATTCTTAATTGTGTCATTAATGAAGATGTTTGTTATGTGGAAGATTGATTTTTTATGAAAAGACCTAATGTTGTGTTGTATCAGTGCACTGAAGGTTTCTGTGGAAATATGCTTCAGTCAGGCAGGTTGTGTTACTGTAAGGGGCAGTGGCTGGGTTCATGTGAAGCCCATTGCTGGTTTATAAAACCATGATATATTTGGAATATTGCTAAGAACAGTGTAAAACAGCTTGCTCGCTCGCTCGCTCGCTCGCTCACTCACTCACTCACTCACTCACTCACTCACCCAAACCCACTCACTCACTCACTCACTCACTCACTCACTCACTCACTCACTCACTCACTCACTCACTCACTCACTCACCCACCCACCCACCCACCCACCCACTCACTCACTCACTCACACACTCCAAAAACCCACTCAAAACCTTCTTACTTATATACACCATACAATCCAGCAGTTCATGTTCCTAATTGCACAGACAATTATATCTAATTGGTGGAATCACTTACATTGTGGGTACCAGACCATGAGTCACAGTCCCTCTGTCATGTCAGAGATGATACTGCAGGGGTGGTCCAGTAGCCTAAAGCGCAACACTTTTCTCTTGCATCCCTTAAAGCCAGAAACCTATATTATTTTGAGTTCACTTGGCTCTAGGTTTGTCAGCATTAATAATACTCATGCTCGTGTGTTTCACCCAGTGGTGAATGTCTGAAACCTTTCATGAATTTAGGTACCTCAAACCAAGTATGATCAATGCACTGTGTTGAAAAAATCAATACTTTTTGGTTACTTAATTTTTACCAAGATCTGTAACATTATGCCTGTTAACATCAATTCACAGAATTCAGTAGCTGAATTAAGACCAGGATTCAAGCTGAAGAATGAGAAACTACACAGCCGTGTTGTCCTGAATCCGATATTGACTTGAACAAAATGGCTGGCACATAGAGATTAGAAATCTATTGCTGTTACATGTGATTACTGGTATCTCATTCAATGGCCCTTAAAGGTACTTTGTTGCTATTTGCCCAGCTCAACGCTGTTGAGCTTCCAGGGAGTAAATTTGTCCGCCTAGACTTGCTTTATGCTTTTGTGTCCTAAAAGTCACAGCACCTGTGCAGCTGAATGTTGAGTATGAATGTTATTTATGTCTTGCAATTGTGTGAATAGCACCTTTAAAGACTACCGTTATAGAATGGGGAGTTTTTAATACATGTTCAGCCAATTTGTTGTCAAGTATAGCATGTTGTTTATTCCTGTCATTCAACACACACACACAATAGAAAATTGAATTGAATCAGGTGTCATTTTTAACAGATTTATCCTTCTTTATTTCTAATCAGGTATTTGAGTGTGATGTAGTGGATAGAATTTTCAGCTGAGGCTGTTATCCATCAGGGAGGTAATATGGTGGATAAAGTGTTCAACTGAGGCTGTTATCCATCAGGGAGGTGATATGGTGGATAAAATGTTCAATTGAGGCTGTTATCCATGAGGGAGGTGATATGGTGTATAAAATGTTAAGCTGAGGCTGTTATCCATAAGGGAGGTGATGTGGTAGATAACATTTTCAGCTGAGGCTGTTATCCATCAGGGAGGTGATATGGTGGATAAAGTGTTCAGCAGAGGCTGTTATCCATCAGGGAGGTGATATGGTGGATAAAGTGTTCAGCAGAGGTTGTTATCCATCAGGGAGGTGATGTGGTAGATAACATTTTCAGCAGAGGCTGTTATCCATCAGGGAGGTGATATGGTGGATAAAGTGTTCAGCAGAGGCTGTTATCCATCAGGGAGGTGATATGGTGGATAAAGTGTTCAGCAGAGGCTGTTATCCATGAGGGAGGTGATATGGTGGATAAAGTGTTAAGCTGAGGCTGTTATCCATTAGGGAGGTGATGTGGTAGATAACATTTTCAGCTGAGGCTGTTATCCATCAGGGAGGTGATATGGTGGATAAAGTGTTCAGCAGAGGCTGTTATCCATCAGGGAGGTGATATGGTGTATAAAATGTTAAGCTGAGGCTGTTATCCATTAGGGAGGTGATGTGGTAGATAACATTTTCAGCTGAGGCTGTTATCCATCAGGGAGGTGATATGGTGGATAAAATGTTCAATTGAGGCTGTTATCCATGAGGGAGGTGATATGGTGTATAAAATGTTAAGCTGAGGCTGTTATCCATTAGGGAGGTGATGTGGTAGATAACATTTTCAGCTGAGGCTGTTATCCATCAGGGAGGTGATATGGTGGATAAAGTGTTCAGCAGAGGCTGTTATCCATCAGGGAGGTGATATGGTGGATAAAGTGTTCAGCAGAGGCTGTTATCCATCAGGGAGGTGATATGGTGTATAAAGTGTTCAGCAGAGGTTGTTATCCATCAGGGAGGTGATGTGGTAGATAAAGTGTTCAGCAGAGGCTGTTATCCATCAGGGAGGTGATATGGTGGATAAAGTGTTCAGCAGAGGCTGTTATCCATCAGGGAGGTGATATGGTGGATAAAGTGTTCAGCAGAGGCTGTTATCCATCAGGGAGGTGATGTGGTAGATAACATTTTCAGCAGAGGCTGTTATCCATCAGGGAGGTGATATGGTGGATAAAGTGTTCAGCAGAGGCTGTTATCCATCAGGGAGGTGATATGGTGGATAAAGTGTTCAGCTGAGGCTGTTATCCATTAGGGAGGTGATATGGTGGATAAAGTGTTCAGCTGAGGCTGTTATCCATCAGGGAGGTGATATGGTGGATAAAATGTTCAATTGAGGCTGTTATCCATTAGAGAGGTGATGTGGTAGATAACATTTTCAGCTGAGGCAGTTATCCATCAGGGAGGGTGGTTGTGGTGGACAAAGTCTTCGGCTGTGTATATGGTGTATTCTACAAGTAAAGAAAGTGATTTACCTTGCCTCTGTATGGGGATATACAATGTTGTGAGGCAGGCTGGCTTGAAAATCTAATAATTAATTAATCATGGACTAACAAAGAAAACAGCTGTCAGTTATGTTAACTGAGTGTTTTTCAGAACTTATGAGTCAAATGGTAAATTTTGCAGAACTGTTTATCCCTGAATCCTGTTTTTTGATAAGATACCAATCAATGCGATCCTGACTGTGTTATAGGCACTAGGCAGTGTGAATATGGTAACAGATTGAGCTGTCAACACTGTCCTCTCCCTGACCGGTCAGAGCACAGTATCTATTGTTTGACTGGACGTTACCTTAACAAGCAGAAACAGCAGTAATATCATATGTTGTTAGAACTCATCACATAATGCATGCATCTTTGAAAAAACATCTGAATAAATCTAAATAAATCTGAACTTTTTGTCACTAATATATCACTCATGCATTGCATACAAATGGTAATATATAGGGTATCTAGTAATATGTAGAGTATCCGTCTAATTTATTATGTATTGAGTATGTGGTGGAACTTATATTGTGTTTTTTGACATTATTTTATGAATATTTTATTGTCTATTGAATCATATGCAATAGTCTGTATTAAATATTGAGCAGTATTTTTATATGTATACTTTTAAGATATGTTAAATGTATCTAATCTGAAAGAACGCCAATTTTTCATGTTTAAGCAAATACTTCATAATCCTATATTTTTCATATTTTTAATGTTTTAACATTTTTAAGCTTTTTTTATGACTGATCAGTGTATATATCAAATGGACGAGTGAAACCATCACAGTTAAATCTGACGTGATTCTTTAAAAATGTCTGAAAGAATTAAAATGCAAAATAACAGTAAATGTTCAACATTAAACACAAGAAAATTGCTGCAACTGCAGGGAGTGAATTAGCGACTTACTTAAACACTGTGGTATCCCATTCCGTGCAAGCCCCCAAGTTGCGAGCGTCCTGCCTTGCTAACTATCTCCCATGTCTGCGACTGCAGCCAGACTCGTTAGACCGGTCAGCGTAGTCAGTGGCACTGCGCTGTCACTGTACGAGGATCTATGCAAATCTCTGGTCAATTCAACTGGTGGGGAAACCTACACAGCTGTCACTCGCTGTGCATTTGTCGATTCTGCATTCAACCAAGATTGTTTTCCCCGTGTTTCAATATTTCCTCACGGAACTGTTTTGTCCGTCGCCGTCAATATCGAAGGCAGGTGGCCCTCGCCGGGCGGGATCTCCTCCCTAGCCTGTGATCGGCAAAGCCAGTAATTCCAGGCTTTGGCTCACTGATGTTAATTGACATGGTGACCAAAGAAATGTACGATCACGCACACCCATGCTTCTCTAGCCATGCTTGTTCATGTGCAGTCAAGATGTTCAAACTGAAAAAGAACAAACATGTTTTCTGTTTTACTGCTAATGATTTAGTGGTGTTCTGTCTCATTCTTAAGAAATCGATTTTACAAGTCTTTGAAAACCAGAGTGACTGTATTTTTTTTTAAATGAAAAATCCAGGAACTTTTTTTAATGACGTTTCAACTGAAGTAAAAAAATGAAGTAGAAATTTCAAGTTGTTATATTTTCAGAGAATTGTACTTGAAATCTGAAACAGGATGTTTGTTAACATGAAGTAAGAAGGATACCAGTTGAGGCCTAGGGTAAGGTTGGTTTTGAGTAAATGTTATTTGGTGTCACTATGGCAACACATCATTAATATATGATGTGGAAGAAATCTGTCTGAAATACGCTTTCAAAGCGTTGCATAAGAATGAGAAATAGAAAACAAATGATGTTCAAAACAGCTCCCAGTATGTAGAAAGGTATTTATGTTGAACACACGAAACAGTTTTGAGGCCTTTTTTAAACATGTGTGATAATCATATGTTGTTGTGAATCGCTAGAGCAGTGTTACTTCATGCGGTCACCCATGTCACCAAGCCTCTGTCATTGAACCGCGACGCTGTGGATCATTGATCCCAATATCAGTCAGGAGATTGCCTGGTCCAGACATGATTATTTACAGGCTGCTGTCATACAGGTGGAATATTTCGGAGAGTGGTGTTAAACAACATACAACTGGTGGAGTGTATCTAGTGATTCACACAGTTGCCTTATTACAACCCAGTATAGCGATTACATGACAATATATCAATAGTTGACATCCATGTGGCTGTCTGATGGCATCATTGTTGACATAGATGTACCATCTTCATCAGAGAACTATTTTTTCAGTGTACCATCTTCATCAGAGAACTATCTTTATCAGTGTACCACCTTTATCAGAGAACCGTCTTTAACAGGGAAACCATATTCATCAGGGAACCATATTCATCAGGGATTGACCATCTTTGTAAGGGTACCATCTTTATCAGGGAACCATCTTTTTAAGAGTACTATCGTTATCAGGGAACCATCTTTGTAAGAGTACCATCTTTATCAGGTACCATATTCAGCAGGGTACCATCTTTATCAGAGAACTATCATCGCCAGGGAACCATCTTTGTAAGGGTACCATCTTTATCAGGGAACCATCTTCGTAAGAGTACCATCTTTATCAGAGAACCATCTTTATCAGGGAACCATGTTTGTAAGGGTACCATCTTTATCAGAGAACCATCTTTGTAAGGGTACCATCTTTATCAGAGAACCATCTTTTTAAGGGTACCATCTTTATCAGGGAACCATCTTTGTAAGGGCACCATCTTTATCAGAGAACTATCTTTATCAGGGAACCATCTTTATCAGGGAACCATCTTTATCAGAGAAGTTTATTTATCAGGGAACCATCTTTATCAGAGAACCATCTTTGTAAGGGCACCGTCTTTATCAGAGAACCATCTTTGTAAGGGTACCATCTTTATCAGAGAACCATCTTTATCAGGGAACCATCTTTGTAAGGGTACCATCTTTATTAGGGAACCATCTTTGTAAGGGTACCATCTTTATCAGAGAACCATCTTTGTAAGGGTACCATCTTTATCAGAGAACCATCTTTTTAAGGGCACCATCTTTATCAGGGAACCATCTTTGTAAGGGTACCATCTTTATTAGGGAACCATCTTTATCAGAGAACTATCTTTTTCAGGGAACCATCTTTGTAAGGGTACCATCTTTATCAGAGAACCATCTTTGTAAGGGTACCATCTTTATCAGAGAACCATCTTTGTAAGGGTACCATCTTTATCAGAGAACCATCTTTGTAAGGGTACCATCTTTATCAGAGAACCATCTTTGATTGAGAGTTTGATTCCCACATGGATACAATGTGTTTCGAGCCAAATTCTTGGTGTCCTCTGCCTTGATATGACTGACAATGCAACAAGCTGCATAACCTTGAAGTTCCACTACCACCCTATGACAGTCCCTGCCCTAAAACGTTTAGGACGACCACACGAAACTTGTAATCTGGCATCATTAAAATAATCTGAATACCCTGGCTTTGGACTGTAGGTGGTTGATATTCAGATACCATGATACAACAGACCAAGACTTGTAATCATGTCTTCATTTTGTCCTGTACCGAATTTCCCCCACAATGCATCCCCTGGCCAGGACATGTGACCTGTACTGAAGTCAGCCGGTGCCGTCCAGCGATGTGTCGGTATTGATCTGGCCATGTTTGTGGTAATCCTACAAGGGAAAGCTTGTAGTTTTTACAATCAGTTATTGATCATGATTTCTTCACCCCTTTCTAAATGTTTTTCTAATGTCAGTCAAAGTTTTTGTGTGTTTTCGTATGAAAATACCAACATTGTTGACAGAGTCATCATACGATGAAAGTCTATTTTGGATTCTCCGGTACAAGATTGGAACTTTTTCAAATGCAATCATGCCCCAATAAATGCCAATTAGCGTCTAATTCTGTCCTTGTCTAATAGCTCCCTGAAAGAAATGTGCAGCAGACCTTTAAGAATGATAGGCTTTTAACTTCTTTAAAGTTTCAGAACGCAACCTGTAATGACAGTTTTGACATTTAGTCGCCTAATGAACCCTGTCATGCACAGGACAATTTGGATGAAGTGATTAGATGAAGGAATTTTCAATCAAATATTTTCCTTATATCTTTAGGGGGTGATTAGATTTGATCAACAAATGGAGTCAAAAGAGAAAAGTGGGATGCTGTGACATCGGTGGGATACATTTGTGTGTTTGAGATTAAATGAGACATGGATGACCCAATCATCTAAGGCACTGAAAATGCTGAGGCCTGATTATATAATCCTTGGTTTGTCAGCACCATACTGGTGTTCGTGTTCTTCGCCAAAGTGGTAAATGTCTAATACCTGCATCATTTTTCTCACACATTAACCTGTCTCAACGTGACACAATTGAATTACCGTCCAATTTACTTACTCTCTAAAAGACTTGCTTTTTAGAGTAACAGAGAAATTTCATCTGTACTGCTGTCTGCTGTTTTTCTAGTGCTTGGCGTGTTTGTGTCATTGATGTCACTTCGCATTCAATCTGCCATTGTGTTTGTTTGTTGTTTAATGCCATATTCAGCAATATTCCAGCTATATGCTGGAGGCTTGTAAAAAATCGAGACAATCCAGTTATTGACATCATGAGTGTCGATCTCCGCAATTGGAATACGATGACATGGATGAACCAAGTTAGCGAGCCTGACCACACGATCCAGTTAGTCGCCTCTTATGACAAGCAAGGGTTGCTGAAGACCAATTCTAATCAAGTTCTTCACGGGTGTGCCGTTACGCATCAGATCTCTAACTATGCAAATATTAGGAATTTGTTGCTATAAAGATGATTTATTTTCTCGTAACATCACTGTTGTGTTTTGGAAAGATAAAAAATTCTTTAATTGGAACACCAAATCATGCAATTGTATTGAAAATAATTCTCAAGAATACCGCAGAAATATCAACATTGTACTTACTTCGTGAGCATGTCACACGAGTAAAACATCGGAAACAAGACAAAATGCTATGTTTTGTCGACTTGTGACAGTGACCAATTTCTGAACGGGTGATGCTGACAACTTGGGAACTAATTAGAGCACGGCTGATAGGAACTAACTGACAACTTTTGATGTGTCATCACTGATGATGAAACCTACGAGATAATCACTGTTTTTCAGGCTATTAGAAATTTGATCTGATCATTAGAAACTTTTTCTGATGGTCCAGTTTGACAACGAGACACTGTACTCTCATTATACAGCAGTCCAAGGTTTGGAGGAAGTAAGCTGATATCCTGACGTAAACTCTCTGTCTGTATGTTGGTGTGAGGTGCTGTATGGGTTGTACTGGGTTAGCAGGGTTATACTAGTGTGCTCTTCTGGCTAGCAGGGAACATTGGCAGCTTGGCTACTTGTTTGTTTGTTTGTTTGTTTGTTTGCTGTTAAACACCGCACTCAGTGATATTCCAGCTATCATGAATATATAAATAATCGAGTCTGGACCAGACAATCCAGTGATTGACATCTTGAGCATCGATCCACGCAATTGGGATATGATGACATGTATCAACCAAGTCAGGGAGTCTGACCACCCGATCCCATTAATCGCTTCTTACGACAAGCATAGTCGCCTTTTACTGCATGCATGGGTTGCTGAAGACCTATTCTACTCCCAATCTTTCAGGAGCAGCTTGGCTATTGACATTTGCTGTGGCTTCTCTCCCGCCCCACACTGGGCACATGTATCACATGTGGTGTTACCTTAGGCAAGGGACTTTGTGCAGAATATGCTGCTGTTCACCCAGCAGGTAATGGGTACCTGGTAGGATCAGATGGCAATGTAACTGAGAACCTTCAGGTTGGATTGTACACTCCCCAGGAAGTTGAGAATGAAAATGGAGTGAACACTGATCCATTGACTGGGGTAATAATAATGTTGCGCTTCAAGCATTCACTTGTGGAATGTAATTTGGCACATTATAAATGGACTTACCCTCCCGATATCATCATCGCCACCAGTGTGCATGTGGCTAATACACGTATCCCAAACGAACTCAAAGGGACCACTAATTTTCATTTGTTATAACCGTTGTTCATTATGAGCATATATAAGAGAGCTACACGATATATCTCAAAGAACAAAGCGTGGTTTATTTCACCATAAAACATTGTTCTATCATGACGTCATTTCTGTAGATTCGAATATGCGCTCGCAACTTGGTGACGTGATGTATTGGACGAGAGAGAAGTGTCTTGTAAGTTGTTCCCCATAGATGTAGCTGGGCTACGCAGTTAAACACAGTAGCCGAACAATCGCATTCAAAAGTGGGAGGAAATGATAATCGGTATGAGTAGAAAAGGTACAGATAATCGACGTGAGGATTCTGATTGGAAATACCAAACTTAACCCACCTGTTTGTAAAATGAACATGTCTGACATTTCCGAGGTCGTATTCTATTCAGGGA